TATAAGTAAAACTACCTTTAAAATCCTATTCAGGAGTAAGTTTTGAGAGAATCTTTGGAAAACCGGTCTAGTTCCAAAACTCAAGGTAGGAAGATAGCGACTTTTTTACATAGCTAGCCCGAAATGTGCTCTTCAAAACGGGAGTGAACCAAGATCCTTAATTTAGGGCGGTATTGGATTTCCTTGGAGCATCAGGACTGTACCTGTCGGTTTATAGTAACCTTGAAAACATAGACACTCTCACTTTCACCCTTAACCAGTTGTCGGTATGGAATATTAATAAATATTTGATGTCTTGTGTTATGTATAGTTTTTTTCGTGATAAACGTTCGACTTGCTTCGGTATCTATCATTACTTTCACTTCTTCTTGTGGTTAACTAACGTAGTAATAAAAATTAATCATAATTTTGATGAATTTTTGTGCTTACTGCAGGAGGTAGCACCATCTTTAAATGACTCCACTATTTGAAAAGAAACCGGAGCACCCTCGGAATTGATAGCCTGGAGCATCAACAAATATCTGAATATGGTTGTGACTAGTAATTAAACAATTGTTGTGGTGGTTGTTACACTTGATGATTATCAGATACATTGCATGTTGTTGACAATATGATAATTACAATTTTGGCAGGTCCAAAGTCTGAGATATTGCATTTTGTTGAAAAGTTGTGATTTTTCAAAAAAAAACCTCACAATATTTTGAAATTTCCTTCGTGAAGAAATGAACTAGAGAGGTTAGGAAGCACATAAACCCCCCTCCCATAATAGAAGACCACATGGTCTTCTATTTTGTCTCTCAAGTCAAGTTCTAAAGGGTGGTCTTCTATTGCGGTCAAATTTTGTCGCTTGCTAGTAGTCCAACGGTAACCTCACGTACTTGAAGTCCGTCCCTTATTAGAAGTACTTTTTGGCGAAATTTTCTGGTGATTCATGGCTTTCGGACTATCCAGCTAAGTGGGTTTGAATTAAAAATAGAATAGTATGTATGGAAACTGCGAATTACGGTACACCCGACTCACTCTGTTCATTTATTCAGTCATAGTCGTTTTAATTTATATTGCGTTAAACGTCTCTATTGTCTGGAAAATGAAGTATTTCGAAACGTCGACTTTATTTTTAGATAAAAAATATTTTTTATTTTTTATTTTTTATTTTTAGTAATAAATATAAATCTGCAGGTCGCCGCTGTTACTATTTTAGCAGTTTTTTCATGCAGTACTTTCGCTTCATCGCCTCGCTACTCCTGTCAATCCGACTCCTTAATCAACTGAATAATACACGTGCATACATAATGTAAGTGTAGATGCAATAGCTGAACGAAGGAATACATGAGTGATGAAAGTTATTCTCTGCTGACTGGCACAAATGAAGATCATTGCGTAAGAAAACAAAACAAAATTTATTTTGTGAAAGAACCAGGAACAGCCTCCATTACTGATCTCATGAACGAATTATCGATTAATTAGGTATAGAATGCGACGATTCTCCTCTATGTGAAGTTATCCTATTGTGTAACCAGTAGACAACTAATATATCATCAATTTTATGCGGTTCTATGGTCGTCACTTTTCCCTTTTTTTCTTGTAAACGTTTCATTTTCTCAAAGATTATCTGTTTCCATTATAAATCGCAGCGTATTTCGTTCATAAAATGTTATCGCTATTCGAAGATTTTCTTCGGCTAGATCATATAATTTTAAATACTCATAAATCATTGCAAATTTTTCAAAACTTGTGTATATTTCTTTCAATTTATAGTTTTTATTACATTTATCATCACTGTGATCATCTGCTGTCCAGTACAGTAATTTGTTTTTATGTACTGTAATATAATTGATATAGGCAGAAATATAATCAGCTTTCTGTTCAATATAAATGTCAACTATACGTTCATAAATCCTATATAACCAATGATGATATGGCGCATCTTGTTTTAAAAATATCTCTAGTGCCTTTGTATATTTTTCAATAGCAGAATCATAATCAGATAATTCTTTCTCATAGATTAAAGCAATATTATAACAGCATACGGCAGTGTATTCATCATCTTCTAACTGACAATAAATTCGCATTTTAATTTCACGTTGACGATAGTTAAGTGCTTTTCCACCATAGTTCGTATCATTAAATGGATTATCCAAATAGTAATTGGCACATTTACCGTAAACTTTATCATATTTTAAAAATTGCTCTTGTTCATTTCGATCATCGTTAATACTTTCAAATTTAACAATGATTTTATCATAACACTCGATACATAATCTAAAATTCTGACGACAGAGAGTAGAATCATTTAGCTCCTTATAACTTTGTACAGTAGATCAATAGATTTCAGCAAGAATTAAGAGACAAAAATCTAATTTCTTATCACCATTAATACATTCTAAGCAAAGTTCTAATCCTTGGTTAAAATATGTTAATGCCGCGGGTATCTGTTTTTTGTGTCTTTCATGTTCACCTAGATAATGATATTTCATTGCCATAATCCACTCTTCATTTGGATATAATCGTAATATATTTATAAAGGTTAAATTTATTTCTTCAATCGATGCGTTATAGAAAGATGCTTGCATGAAACGTCTACTAATCTCACGTTTCAAATTCAAACCATGATTATTTGATGATAGTATTTCAAATTTAGTTTTATCTATATAATCATTTAAAGTTAATTTTATCATCCGATACGGTTGATTTAGATCAACATTGTCATCCTCTTTTTTGATGTTGAAGTATGTACCAATCATAAATAAAACTTCATTTTCATCTTCAACACAGCTTAAATGTTTTATACTGGCAAATATCTGTGATTTTGGGTCGGAATCAGATCTTAATTCAATTTCAAATAGAATACCATTATGTTCATCGTCATCATCATGATGTGTGGTATCTATGAATATCTCTGAAAGCTGTCGATCCATACTTGTAGAAAGAAAACTATTTGTTGTTATCATAATATTTGCTGAGGCCCGCGACAATGATTTTAATTCACTTTTTGACATTAATTGACCACGATAAACTCTAAGGATAGGCTCCTGCTGTTGCTCTTCTTGCTTATCAATGTATAATCTATGCAGCTGCTTCAGTTGAAGAAATAAATCTTTTAAATATGATCCAAATAGAAATGCTACCTGAATATTGTGTTGTCTCATTGCTTTATTCAGTATTGAAAATAGTGTAAAGTTTGGACGTGTATACCAATGAATTGCTTGACCAGCTGTATACGTTTGTTTCATTTCTTTTAATAATTTTGTGTGATGTTCGTTGCCAAAATAATAAATTTCCAGTTCATGAATCAATTTCTCTTGCATATAGTTTTCTGGATAATCGGCATGAACTAAGAAAAGAATTAAACCAGTCCACCAATTTAAGCTGTCACCCGTAGTTGAATCTTGTTTATCCACTAAACTGAACATTTTCTGTTGTTGACATTTTAAATTCAGATTAGTATCCTTTTTCAAAGTTTCTATTAATTCATCTAATGTAAATACCAACTGCACCTTCAAGACCAAAAGAAAAAAGAATCATTTCAAGCTACGGTCAAGGTTTTGTTTTATGCAAGTAGTTTCTAAACACGTCATGTGACAGGTATCATCTTTTGGGATAGAAATGCCGTAAGCAGCATCAAAAAACTAGGTGTGGTGGAAGTTTCCCCTTCGAAACGTTTTAGAATTCTACCACAGTTTTTGACATATAAAACAACAATTTTGCAAGCCGCAGTCGATAGTTCTGAAAAATGACTGCTGTACATTAGTCAGCCCTACAGCCTAAATATTTCGAAGCACTCTCTATGTGTCGATTCGCAGATAATTTTATGTGTCGCGTCCATCCTATGAATCTAGCCACAGATTCGGGTGCAAAATCGTAAGTGTAATGATGTAACCGTTAGTCTAATCATTGTTACAGACGGTTTTGCAAGTATTTTCAAAAGTACAATTAGAATCTAAAGGCATGTGATTTCATTGTTTGATTACTTCAAAAAACTTAAGTCCATAGCTGCTGTTTTTGATCCCGAACAAATGGATGTACTCACTTTACCTGCCTATATTCTGTGTACGATGGTAAAATATGTTGAACATTATTTTGCTTTCTGATTTCACTAGAATAAACATAAACTTTTTGAATATTTTGAGAATCGTCGTGATGTAATAGCTTTAAAATTTGTTGGAGAAAAATATCTGGTACAATAATGGATGTTCTATAAGTATTCTGTGGATTCTTCAACATCATAAAAAATCTTAATATAATCAATAATTGTACGTAATTGTCTCATCAAATGAACGTCTACTCCAGTATTATCCTTTCCACTCAATAACCATACGAGTTGATTTGATTCAATATTTTCGTTCGTTCGGTCCAATACGATCGGCTGTGTGTGATACGTAGTCATGATTTGGATAGAAGAGTATGTACAGTTATACTCGAACTACAAACAATGTTGCTTATTCCTTAAAGATTTTAATATGTGAGTAGTAAGAACTAATGAGTTATGCATAAGTTTTGCAGAAAATGTCAACCGCTGTTCTCTATGCTCCTACTATTCTAGAGACTTCACTTTCTTTTTGTCTGAAAGAGCAAAGTCTGAACTACAAAACGTGGTCAAATACAATTTTCTCTCACCACACTTCATTGAGAAACAATTCAAAAACTAAACATCACTAAAAACATTCTAGTTAAACTTTACTAAAACATATCCAGAAAAGCTTTTCACTGGTGTCAAAAATAATCACTTTTTGCTAGAACCAAATACACGAAAAAATAGTCCGTGAAAAAATTCTATGGATTTAATCTCCTTAAAAAGTTTCAAGTTACTTTTTTATGGTTTCTGAAACGCTTTCTAAAAGTCAGATTTTATGAAAATCGAGATTTTGTGTCTAACAATTAGGACTTTCAGCAAAAGCATCACATAAAGTACGAAGTAAATGAGTTTAGATTTCGTTTTACATCAGATTGTATTAAATCGAATAGAGATCATTGTATGGTTCAAAAAATTGGAAAAAGCTTCCTTCGCTAATTGAAGAGTTGGCAATTAACGTTAATTACCTGATTTCTAACGGTACTCCGATAAACAATTATGTCGTCACGAAAACTAAATAAAAAGGAAATGTATTGCACATCATTCGAAAGAGCATTTCAACCACTCTCAGATGTAATAATCAGTCATCATTTGAGCTTATCCTTAAACGAGAAAAGAACCGTTTGGAAGAAAATAGAGAGCGGACATTTTAACGATTTACCAGAACATTTTTAGTGGTGTTTAATTTTAATTTTTCCAGCGAGGTTTTGCGAGAGATAGTTTTATATGATACTCGTTTTGTATTTAAGACTATGCTCTTAAGGTGCACGTAAAGCAAATTTTGAGCACTTTTTGTTTTTCGCTAAAAGGTACACCATCCGATGCAGCAAACCTAAGTCAATCCTGTACGATAGTATATATCTTCCAATTGGATTGTATAAAGATCGTATTCTTGCACGAATATCACCTTGAAAATTCAAAAATGTTTTGTTTTGGGGGAGAAAATTGCAAAATACTGAAAACCTCCAAAAACTTCCAAAATTTCTTACTATTCGAAAAATACTCATAACTTTTTCTAGAAAGCTGCTACCAACTCAGACTTTTTTTTGTTAAATTCACCATTGAAAACTGAGTCTGGCCGAGTACATTTTAGCCCTGAGTTCCGAAAATTAAACTTTTTGAAAAGGTTAAAACCGGAAAGCCTCAAAAATGAGGCCTCTCCGCGAAAAATCTATCTAGTTTTAGTAAAGTTTAACT